AGCCTTGCCGTATGAGAGCCTTCTTGATAGAAAGGATGCTTTGATGGAGGAGCCTAGGATCTGCGCTGCTAACCAGCAGGATCTGAAGCAGATCCTCGGAGGCGAGCCATTTGAGGTGCCAGTTAAATACCAAAATCCAGATCTCCTTGACCGCTTGCCGGTCATTGTGACAACTAACGAGCCTCTGGGTATTCCCCTCTCGGACGTCGATGCCGCTGCCATAGAGGGTAGATGCAAAATCTACACTCTGGACAAGCAAATTTGCAATGCTAATATCGACGGAACCGTGCCTGCACCTCCATAAGAGGTTTGTGTCTGCGACATGGCTCATCTATTACTGCCTATATATGAATTATTGGCCTTGTAAATATTTGTTTAAATATAATTGTAATAAAAAGGTATATAAAGGGGTAAAGGACTTGCTTTTCACATTATGCCGGTGGTACAGCTGATGGACACTTCGAAACCAGATAGCTCTAACAATGGTGAGAACAAGAGCCAAACTGCGGAGAATGATACTACTGGTGCTAATCAGGCTTTGGCTATGGGTCCTGAGGACCTTATTAAGTTTGGCCAGGGCGTTTATAGTACGACATTTAGGAAGAGACTCCACGTCACCATTCCCGGACAGGGGAACGGCGGATGCGCGAAAGCCATCCTCCTAAACACGTTCTTCCTAGAGCCCTTCCTATACTACTTAAACGAGAAGAAGGAGCCTAAGTTATCTTCACTGTGGCCTAGTGCTCTCTCGTTTCCCTACATGATGTTCGGGGATTTAAGTATACACATCTCACGGTTCGTGCCGTTGATGAAGACCACTACGACGACAGCTGTTGTTAACGATCAGGTGCAATTCCAGGTCTCGCCGTATATGCTGATATGTATCAGTAATAAGAATAGGCACAATAGCCTTATCCCATGCGAACTTGATCAAAAGGTTAAGAATATGGAGGGCATTACCAACGGCGGCTGGAAGAGAGCAAATAGTGACCTCTTACAATGGCCAGTGATGAAAACAATGGGCCTAGGAGGAACGTACACCTTTAAGAAGCATATTCCTAATCCACCCTTCCGCTACTATCATGCTAACACTATGGCGCTTGATCCAAATATCAATCTCTACCTCCCACACGACACTGACGAAAGATCATATTTGGAGCCATTCACAAACTTTGCACCCCCAGCTCAAGATGACGTCCTCCTAGCTCTAACAATGCCAGATGTGGGTGCCCTCGGAGAATTCTCTAATAAGCCTAATATCTACGGCAACTGCCTCATAGAACTGTCGTTGGACGTTACGTTCATGACTAAGCCTGTCGGTCACGAACACCTGGAGAAGGCTATACCTCTC